CCCCCCCCCCCCCGGACTGAGATCAGGGGGTCCCAGTGACTCCTGCCAATGACATCCACGTAATGCAGCTTCCTGTGATGAGGTGACAACGATGCTGCACTGCTCCTGAATCCAGAAGCGGAATTGTCACCCCCATGTAGCCCATGCCTGCCGCCACTACAGTGGGAGGAGATGTTGCAGGGGGGGGTGTGGCTATCAGCATTGTCACTGTAGCTTGTCCATCAGCATCTGGCCACACCCTAGCCCCGCCCACTGCTTTCTGAATTGGTAGCAACGCTTCACTTCATGAAACCCGCCCACTGTGAGCTGCAGTGCCCGGGAGGGGGAGGGACACAGATGGAGGAGGATTTGGCTCAGTCATGGAAGGTGAAGGAAGTCTATTGTTTGAGGTTTGTGAATCACAGGAAACGGACTCTGGACTTGTTTATACCGTCATATAGGAGACATTCGTGGTACTGAACTCCGGGATCAGCAGACCGTCCTCATACCAGAGTCCCGTGTGTTCTTCCAGATCTGCGCAGTCATCCAGTGTGAGACCGCTCACTGCTGCTCTCTCTCCTTGTGCAGGGTGACCGGCCTTGTCTCCGCCCCCTCCTGTAATAAAGACCGGTCACTGCTGCTCTCTGTCCTTGTGCAGGGTGACCGGCCTTGTCTCCGCCCCCTCCTGTAATAAAGACCGCTCACTGTTGCTCGCTCTTGCAGCACAGTGATGATGTCACAGGTTGGCAGAAGCATTCGGCACATACAAAGTGGATTTCTAGCTGTCGATGGAGGAATAGATTTCGATGAAACTTTTTTGCTCAGATTTAAAATATACACAATGAAGGGAATTGATCAAAAGTGGAGCAGACAGAATGCAGAGCAGTTGCCCACGGCAACCAATCAGCTTCTCTCTTCAACTTTCAAAGCTTAACTAAAGAAACTGAAGGGAGAAGCTGATTGGTTGCCAAGGACAACGGCTCCAGCTTTGATCATTTCCCTCCATAACGTTTCTTTTTAATACATAAACTGATACTTTGTATCTCTTCCCGGGATCCGGCTTTGCGGCACGGTGACATGTTCTGTGTCGGGAACACATACGCGGGCCATTGAGTTCAATGCACCGCCACGCCCCCCTCCCGCCGCCCAAAAAGCTGAGCCGTCCGGGTTGCGTTCCAAAGGCCTAACGCACTCCCGATGGTGTGACCGGGCCCTGAATCCTGTGCGGTTTCATGTCTCCGGAGGGGGAGGCGGAGCAGCGCGGTCGCAGATCGTTGCTGGAAATAAATACAAAATTTGAAATAAAAGCAGAAAAAGAAGATGGCGGCGGCGGCCCAGGAAGAGCGACATTCATCTCGGACACGAAGAAATCTCTTGCGCACTTTAATATAGAGATATATTTTGCGGTTTCACAATTCGATGATTCCTCATAGAAAACACAACTTATCATCTCATAAAAATTCACATTTTTCTCTGTTCCTGGGATTCCTGAACCAGCGACGAGCGGAACATTCCACGGACAGACGGGGGAGGAGGAGGAGACAAAGTGGAACACAAGGCCGGCTGGACCGGAACAGAGAGTGCGAGGATTAAACAGGCCGTCTGACGCCGACATGCTGGACGATCGGTTAGAAATTATCGCAACGACGACAGACAGGTACAACCGAGCTCAGGACTGACACAGCGACCGTGAGAGGGGCGGCCCCCACCTCAGGACATGAAGAATTAAAGGACAACTCCACCCGAAAAACCAAGTCTTCTGTTCTGCATGGCTGATGGCGAGTTCAATCAAATGTCGGCTTCTTATATGTCCCGGGGGCTCCAGCTGTGAGATCTGCCCCCGAAATTTCCTGTTTCCATGACCAATAGAGAGCCAAGGGGTGTGGTCACCGTCCATGACGCTGAACTAAAAATTTATGGGAACAGGTGAGAGAGAGACCAAACTACTGGAGAGAAATGTCATCATTGTGGGAGGGGCAGAGACACAACTACTAGGGGAAATCTCACCATTGTGGGAGGGGCAGAGACACAAACTACTGGGGGAAATCTCACCATTGTGGGAGGGGCAGAGACACAAACTACTGAGGGAAATCTCACCATCGTGGGAGGAGCAGAGACACAAACTACTGGAGAGAAATGTGATCATTGTGGGAGGGGCAGAGACACAACTACTAGGGGAAATCTCACCATTGTGGGAGGGGCAGAGACACAAACTACTGGGGGAAATCTCACCATTGTGGGAGGGGCAGAGACACAACTACTGGAGGAAATCTCACCATTGTGGGAGGGGCAGAGACACAAACTACTGGAGGAAATCTCACCATTGTGGTAGGGGCAGAGACAAAGTACTGGAGGAAATCTCACCATTGTGGGAGGGGCAGAGACACAACTACTGGAGGAAATCACACCATTGTGGGAGGGGCAGAGACACTAACTACTGGGGGAATTCTCACCATTGTGGGAGGGGCAGAGACACAAACTACTGGGGGAAATCTCACCATTGTGGGAGGGGCAGAGACACAAACTATTGGAGATAAATGTCACCATTGTGGGAGGGGCAGAGATACAACTACTGGAGGAAATCTCACCATTGTGGGAGGGGCAGAGACACAAACTACTGGGGGAAAACCTCACCATTGTGGGAGGAGCAGAGACACAAACTACTGGAGGAAATCTCTCCATTGGGGGAGGAGTAGAGATACAAACTACTGGGGGAAATCTCACCATTGTGGGAGGGACAGAGACAAACTATTGGGGGAAATCTCTTTGTGGGAGGGGCAGAGACACAAACTACTGGGGGAAATCTCACCATTGTGGGAGGGGAATAGACTCAAGTTGGTGGTGAAATGTGATCACTGGAGTTTCTAAGAGATATAAGAAGCCTAAAGAGAATTTTAACGACTACAGCTGAAAATAAATCAGTTTAAAGGATCATTTCTTCATCAAACATTGATATTTTATCCACACTTCATGATTGCTAATAACATCAACAACCCCTCCTGTGTGTACAGAAGAGGACAGGAAGTCAGCTGCGCCCTCGGCTGCCATTGTCATGTCACGGTTATTTAGGATGGAGTTGCCCTTTAAATTCAAAAAATGATTAAGACCGAGGATCTGTTATAAAGAAAGGAGGCGTGGCTACATGCGTCCATCGGACGGGCTCGCTAACAGGACGTGGAGACACTGGAGGTGAATACACAGCTCCTGTGATCTGACTGTCCACATGCGTCCCGACTGAAATGTGTCTGTGACGTGGATTCGGCACCCCAGAACATGCTGCACTGGAGGATCGGCCAGGAAATGACCGCCACGGCCGGGGCACGCGACGTTTTCTGGGACCCACAGAGTCAGGAAAGCCATAGACGTGGGGCTGCTCGGCATCGTCATTCTACCTGCCAGCAGAAGGTTCTATTCTCACCCGATGGACGGTCTCTCCGCAGATAAATTCCGTCTACTTCTGCCCCAATCACAGTTAAACCTTAGAAAGGAGACCGGTCGCACTCTGATGACATCGGCTTGAAGGAACTTTATTGTTCCAGACAAAGAACGCAGAAGAACCAACCAGACCCTCTCTCACGCGTTTTCACCCAAACAGCAGAATTTCTATGGCTAAGCCCTGTTTAGGTAAAACGCATGTGTGTGGGGAGAGTCTGGGTGCACCTTTTGGCTCTGTTCACACCTAGGCGTATCGTATATGCGCGCCTGTCGCGTGTTTCGTGACGCGCGTATTTACCGCGATTCACTGTAAAAAAAAACGCGCGACAAACGCGCGTTTCCGAGGGCTACTTGGCTGTATCCCAATGGAAACGCGAGACAAAAACGCCGCAAAGAAGCAAATGTACCTTTTCAGGCGTGGGCCGTTTTGTAGCGCGTTCAGACGGGCTGAAATACGGCAAGGTGTGAACCAGACCCATAGGAAACAATGGGATTTTCATGTTTGAGCGCTTTGTAGAGCGTTGAACGCGCTACAAAACGTACAGGTGTGAACCAGGCCTTAGTGTTCTTTGTCCTGAACAATAAAGTTAATTCACGCTGATGTCATCATAGTGCTGCTGGTGTGTTCGCTTTTGACACACGGGGGAGCAGAGATGAGCCCTATCCAGACTCCGGGCTAAAGAGCGGTAGTTTTCCCTCCGAATGTTCCACAGTAAGACTTTGACTGGCCTCACTCAACCAAAACTTACCCCACGACAGGTTCGGCCCACTTACTGCACACGAACATTTGTGAGATTTATCACCGGAAAGCAGACGTGGGGGGGGGGCATACAATGGTCAGCTCTTATTCAAACTTTAAAAGTAGGGATGCACCGAAACCGGTATTTCAGTATCGATTACGAATACTGATATTTTTTCTTTTCTGTACTCGCCGATACCGAATACCGATACCGGGAGTCCCATTCAGGAAGCCAGGCGGCGTGTAAAGACTCGCCACCCGGCTTCCCAATTAGCAGGGAAGCCGTCTCCATGCTGTTCGTCACTAGATGACGAGAAAGCATGGAGCCGGTTTTCTGGCCAATCAGGAAGCCAGGTGCCATGTAATGATGCGGCGCCCGG